ATAAAAGTTCCCATTAAAATCAGAGAGAAGCAGAGTTGTGGTCATTAACAAACAGTAGTAAACAACAATCATAGTTATCGTGATAACTAAGCTGAACATAAAGAATTAAACTAGAAAAATTAAAATCAACTCACCTACACAACATTCAATCAAAAGATCTTGAGTATCTCGGGCAACACGAACATCTGGGGGCAACATTTCTTTGATAATTTTTGTCATAGTTGCTGAGAAGAGATACAATGGTTAGTATAGCCAAGGAAAAGCAAGCCATTAACCAAACTAAGTCATTAATATCAAATATCAAATTTACAAAACTTAAATGTGGTAGCCAAAGTTTCAATACCATTGTTCACAAGTGAATCATTTTAACACAGTGTCAACGATGTTTTCACAAAAGTAACACAATGATAGCTGCCTTACTTCATTACTCAGCTTATGAGAAAGATTGACTTTACTCTGGCTATCGACACATAAAGCAATGGGAACTTAAGAAACTTCACATAAACATCCTACTTAACATGTCAAGGTAGAACCAAAACAAAGAGCTTTAGACAGCACAAAGAATCAAGCTATTAGCTAGCAGGAACTGATTTAAGAATTTAAGAGGTTGGGCACAACCCTATTTTCAACATAAAACTCAACACTGAGACCAAAATGCTAAATCTTTTCCTGACCACCCAGCCAACTAGCAGTCCTTTAGACAGCACAAAGAATCAAGCTATTAGCTGGCATGAACTGATTTTAGAATTTAAGAGGTTGGGCACAACCCTATTTTCGACTTAAAACCACTGACACCAAAATGCTACATCTTTTGCTGACCACCCAGCCAACTACGTTGTCTTTTGGATAACCAACGAGTTAAAAGGATCAAAAACCCCAAACTGCACCCTGCAGATGAAGCCACATCAGGATGGTGATTAACACACCTTGTCCTAGCTAATATCTCACAAAAGCTCCAATATTTTAGACAGGACAGTCATAAGTTAAGCTATTATAAAACTTTCCTCACCAAATAACATGAGAAACTCGTGCAATTTGGTCCAAAGCAATCCAAGTAACAGTAATCAAATATATATAAATATATGCTGGCTACAAATTAATACTTTCATTAATTCAATCACTCACTGTGTGTTCATCTACTCAAAAACATCGCAGTTAGGTCAACCAAACATGAAAGGAGTAACAAGAGGAACAAAAAAAATTGCAACCAGAGAAAACTACAAATTAATCTGTACACGAACTGCAACAAAACATCGAATAAAGTAAAACGAAGGAAGATAAGAAGAAACCTTTTGGAAGTGAAGCGTCTTCCTTTGTTTTACCAACGATATCCATAGGTTCCATTTTTTAGCCCTTCAAAAAAACAAATCAAAAATCCAGAATCCAAATTCAACAATCACAAACTCATATTAGCATATAAAACGGAAAAAAAACAAAGATCTACAGCTTCAAAAAAATCAAAACTAACAAAATCCTTCAAAAAAACAAAATGGAAAAAGATCTACAGATGCGAAGATCAAATAAACAAAATTAAACTTACCTTGCGAAGAGAAAATCGAGAATCTGACAGATTGAAGAAACCAGAGCGGAATTAGAGTACTACAAAAAATTAATGGCAATTCAGCCGGGATCGGAGTGGCTGACGGTGGTTGTTCATGGTGGATATAGAGAAGGGAAGTGGTCTAGGGCAAATTTTCTGCAAAGCGCGTTTAACAAAGGGATCTCGACGCGCGAGTGATGACGTGTGGCTCACGATGCAAGGGGTTGTGAATGGTAATCGAGGGGTGGGTTGCACGTAGAAGTAGTGAAGGTGTGGGAATGTGAGAGAAGACATGAAATAATAATATAATATATAGTCCTAGAATTGGTAGGGGATGATGTAATTTTGGTGAATTGCAAATGGAAGCGAAAGGAGTGGAGGGGAGATTACCGATTCTAATGGATCTGCTAATTGAGGCCAACCGTGGACGGGGGATTGTGCACGAATTTCAAAAATTTGTCAAAGCCTAATTACAAATAAATTAAAAATAAGTAAATTATACTCCCTCCGTTTCAAAAAGAATGTCCTAGTTTGACTTGGAACGGAGTTTAAGAAAAGAAAGAAGACTTTTAAATTTTGTGGTTCAAAATTAAAGTTATGTCAAATGTACCAAAATGTCCTTTAATCTTGTGGCCTTAAACATGACATGTGAAAAGTTGAAGTTAAAGTGTTGCTAAAAAGAGAAAGGGATCATTCTTTTTTAAACAGACTAAAAAGGAAATGAGGTCATTCTTTTTTAAACGGAGGGAGTACAATTTTTTTATTTATTTGAATTAGCTTATAATAACAATATATCAATTATAATCCCACAAAATAGGTCCGGAAAGTATAGAAGATGTATGCAAATTATTTAGTTGGTCAATACTTTGCCCATACGATATAGTTGGTCTAACCATCATTCAGTAAAAGTTAACTTTAAGTTTTGTTGACACCTTTTTATCACACACAAGACTCGGAATATAACCCTTAATTTCATCTGTTATTCATTAATGTAGTGTGACACATCCTTGTCAATTTATTTATTCCTTTGGATAATATACCCAAGATTCTGAAATTATCTTTCTTTTGGACGGCATATGTATCGAGTCCCATACTCACGCCAATTTTATGTATTACATCATTGAATTTATACTCCAGATATTTTTATTGTGGTCCTACTTAACTTGAACCCTTTAGACTTCAAGGTTTGTCTCAAACCTCCAGCTTAACAGTAACTATGTCGTGAGTCTCATCAATCAGAACTATGCCATCTGTAAATAGCATACAGTAATGCACCTTCTTTTTTTAATTTATCGAGTCAATATATTACCAAAGAAAATTGAAATAGGCCCATAGTTGAAGAGAAAGTATGATGAAAGTTGTTAGTTATGTTCAAAATGAGTTATTGTTGATTTTTGGCCACTATGACATAATTAGTCGGGGACCTGAGAGACGGTGGTTTAACCCTGCGACATATGTTAGTGGATAGAGTCTGTTTATCTCATACTCCTGAACTTAACTATATAATGTTTTATGATAACACCCAAAAAATATATTCAGCAGTTCGATCTTTGATTTATCAATCATGAACGTTGATAAGATTCGTCCATTTAGCAATCACCTTAGGATGGCATAGCGAGATTCAAAGAAAAAAATACAATTCTTGATACAACCCCGTCACAGATTGGAAAGGGCTCTAAGTCACCTCTCACCATTATTATCCCGATCTTGGTTGTATTGTACATGTCTTTAATCGCCGTTATGTATGCTACACATACACATTTAGCCTCCAAATTTGTAAAATCTTTCTTAACACTTTATTGTAAGCCTTTTTTAAGTCGATAAAAATATGTGTAAGTTCTTATGTATCTCCTTATACTGCTTCACCAATCTCCTCACAAGATGAATGACTTATGCAACTAAGCACCGCAACATGAATCAGAACTGATTCTCAAACAATACTTATGTCCCTTCTCACTCTCATCTCAATCACCCTCTCTCAAACGTTCATATATGGCTTAGTAGCTCGATACCCACTACAATTATTGCAATTTAAATGTCTCATTTGTTCTTGTATAATTGTTCATGGTACTCGACCTTTATTCTTAAGACATTTTCGTCGTCTTCAAAACGACATTAAACAATCCAGTAATCACTTCATATTTATTCTAGGGATAAAGCACAAGTATCGCCCTAGACTATAACCGAAATCTTAGAAACACGCCTTAACTAAACTAAAGTCCTATTACCCCTCAGATTCATTTTTTTATGTAATTTTATCCACTTTTTGTCTTACGTGGCACACTCTGTGACTCCACATAGTTGAGGTGCGTCAGAGATGTTTGAATGCCATGTAAGTCAAAAAGGTGTACAAAAATACAAAAAAAATGAGTTTAATGGGTAATAAAACTTTAATTTAGTCAAAGTGTATATATGAGATTTCGGTCATTGAGTACTTATACCATATCTCTTTATCCTATTTGCATTGTTTTAAAATTTCAGCAGAATGTCGTTTGACCTAGTTACTCTTCCATACAAATCATGTGAATAACACTCATAACATCTCCAACCTCTATACATAACCTACCATGAAATATTCACTTAATATGAACATGATGATATAGTTACAAATAACATTGACAATGCCTTAACAAACATAAGACACTATAACTCATGTTCAATTTTTTTTTGTATTAAACTAAAGTTTAATCAATAAATATTGTATTTTTTAAGAATAACTTTCTTATAGTATATATTACTTTTGTTACAAATTTTTGCTTATTTGGTAAAATTATATAAAAAATTAGGCACAAAAAAATTTTCTTATAAGGATTTTATGTTTATGAACAAAACATATACATTAAAAATTCAAATTATATATCCCAACAAAACTTCAATTTCATCTCATATGATTTCATTCGATCAAACTATCCTAAAATTATCTTTTGTAATTGAGGGCTAAATCATTAAATCTCATATGATTTTATCTCGGTCAAACTATCCTAAAATTACTTTTTGGTATTAAGAACTAAATAAATAAATTAGTCGTGTAACCTAAAGTTACAGCAGGTTTGTCTATATGAGTTTATCTCGGTCAAACTATCCTAAAATTACTTTTTGGTATTGAGGGCTAAATAAGTAAATTATTTATGTAACCTAAAGTCGCTGCAACCCGCAAATTCGTCTATATGATTTCATATCATGATTTTATCTCGGCCAAACTATCCTAAAATTACCTTTTGGTATTGAGTGCTAAATAAGAAAATTAGTAATGTAACCCGAAGTCCCCGCATGTCTGTCTATATGATTTCATATCATGATTTTACTTGGGTCAAACTATCCTAAAATTACCTTTTGGTATTGAGAGCTAAATAAGTAAATTAGTAATATAACCTAATTTTTTTCTCAATATGATTTCATCCCGGTCAATCTATCCTAAAATTATCTTTTGGTATTGAAGGTTAAATAAGTAAATTAATAATGCAAACCTAAAGTCGCCTTAGGTTTGTCTATATTTAGACGACTGCGGCTCTCTCAAGAATACACAGTATCAAGCGGAGAGGTCACACTTCATCTATTATGTCCTCTCTCATATCATCTTTCAGAAAAAAAAAATTGTTAGATTTTACTTAATCTATTTTTATTTACTAGTACTATATTACATATCTTCAAACTTCTTTTTTATTAGTTTATGGAGATCTGTGTTTATGATTTCTGTGCAATGTCCGGCAGATTATATTTTGCATTTGTTGAAATCAGATCTGTGATGATATATGTTTAGACCCACTATCTGTTTGAATTTTATATATAGATTTATACTCGGTATTGAAAATACTGGATTCAGATAAATCTATGCATTCGCCTGTGGATATCGTTTGAGTATTTTGACGCACTCTGTATTTGTTTAGTTGGTTGAAGACACTGGAGGCAGCGGTTCATCGATCTGTTCCCTGAAAGCTGAATATATATGCAAAAATACAGCAAAAGGAACCGATCGATAAACCTCTGCATCCAGTGCTTAACCCTTGCTAATTGGTCTGTTTATCTTTCCATACCCAAATATTATTTTTTTCTTGTCAAAATTTTGAAGTATTACTGTTAGTTTTTCAATTCTTTTTTTTGTGAATCTGATGGTTTGTGCTGGGATTACAATCGCTTAATTTGTACTCTGCTATAACTCTGCTTCACATTAACTAGCATAACTTGATCAGATACCCCTTTAGTTCCTATTGATATGGGATTTTCCTTTGTTTTCTTGGTAGAGTCTTACACAAGGTTTGCGTACTCTCTATCCCTGCAAGACACGACTGCCAGTGATATACTTGAGGAAGGTGGGGATGACGTCAAGCCCGCATGGCCCTTATGGGCTGGGCCACATATGTGCTACAATGGCAATTACAATGGAAAGCAAGGCTGTAAGGCGGAGCGAATCCGGAAAGATTGCCTCAGTTCGGATTGTTCTCTGCAACTCGGGAACATGAAGTTGGAATCGCCCGTAATCGCGGATCAGCATGTTGCTGTGAATATGTACCCGGGCCTTGTACACACCGCCCGTCACACCCTGGGAATTGGTTTCGCCCGAAGCATCGGACCAATGATCACCCATTGGCTTCTGTAAGTCCTTTCGTGGTCTTATTGGCGCATACCTCGGTGGGGTCTTCGACTAGTAGAGATTTCACGGAATATATTGTTGTCATGGTAGAATTAGAGTTTTTTTTTTTATCCCCATTTACTTGTATCGACTGCTGTGAGCCTGTGACTTCCAATAATTATCCTAATTGTTTAGAGTCCTAAATCTTACACTTTTGGGTACAACAATTTTTTATCATCTAAGTTTATGAGTCGAAAATAAGCCACACATTTGGAGGTCATTTGGTTGGAAAGATAAAAGATAGTATTCCGTTCGTTTCACAAAGAATGACTTCCTTTTCTTTTTAGTCAGTTTAAAAAAAGAATGACTTCTTTCTTTTTTGGTAACATTTTATTTTTTGCTTTTCACGTGGCATGTTTAAGACTATAAGATTAAGGACAATTTTGTATATTTGACATAACTTTAATTTAGGATCACAAGATTCAAAAGTCTTCTTTATTTACTTAAACTCTGTGCCAAGTCACACCAGGTCATTCTTTATGAAACGAAGGGAGTAATAATTCCAATAAAAAATATTGAGATAAATCTTAAGATTATTGTATTTCATGTTTGTTTACTTGTATTAATTAATAATATGTTTACTTGAAATTAATTACTCTCTATTGTAATTATCCCTTTTGAACCTGCGACCTTGTAGTTATCCTCTTTTATATACAAATCAAATTCACTTTACACTATAGCAAAGTTAGTCGAAAGGGAAAGTGGAAAACATATTCTTTAGGCATTGTAGGTAGAGGCTAACATAGTTGTCAAGTACCAAAATCACTAGAGAATCTATACAAACACTTTTAGGCATCTCCTAGTATTATTCCTTTTGCCAAGCTTACTAGTTTTACTAACATAGACAAGATTTTTACCTGCTCTTTTATCCTAGCATATATACTTTTAGTTTTTGCCATAAAACTATCATAATTTTAAATTTAATTTTTTTATTCTAACCTTTTATGAGGTGATTTATAGTCAGATTGAACAATCAGAATGTCTTGCTTTAACATCAACAGATAAAGGGTCTTGGTCACTTTCAAGATATAGATGAGTGGAAACACAGATTCAACTTACAAATGGACAAAGCATTTATATTGTAGTAAAATACTTCAACCGTTTTATATTACTTAATCTTTGTCCGTTTTATATTACTTGATCTTTGACTTTAATTTTGATTATTAATAGTACATTATACAACAAAATTTGATGTCTGGTCCCACAAATACATCATGAGCCGTTCATGCGGTTGATATTGATAAAGATGTGACAATAATAGCCACATTGACATTAAGCAATCAATGATTACATTAATTGAATGTAGCATATAGTGACAAAATAGTGGCAATTTAATTAACACTACAGATAATGGCTTACAGATGCTGAGTTACCAGTAGCTATGTAGTGACAAAATTGTCCATCTAAACAATGATTCTGCTATTTTTTTTTAATGGCCTAATCCATCGGTAGTCCCTTAAATTTGGCACAAAATTTCACTTAGACACCTTAATTGAACAGTGTTCATATTAGACACCTCATGTAGGATATCGTTGTGTCATTTTAACACTTTTTGCTTACATGGCTTAGTGAATGTAATACACTCATTGACCGCGCGTGAAAAACCTTTTTAGTTGACTTTTAAAAAAATTTCTCTTCTTCTTTCCCATTTTCAGCCACCATTTCTGAAACTTAAACATCCAACTATGGTGAATCAAAACAGTTACCATAAACAATTGAAAAATGATAGAAATTGTTTTAGAAATTTAGAAATGTACCCATTTCAAGATTTACTTAGTAAATTAATTTATGAGAATCTTTCCCAAAAGGATTGAATATTTACATAGAAGTAATTTTTATTTTTATTTTTGTGGATCTGCTAATTAGGGGAAAAAAGAAACAAAAAGATATTTTAAAAAAACACTAATAAAGGAGCAGTGTGTAGGTTGGCATGTTTCTCATATGTTTTTGCAAGTATTTGGATAAGAAAATCGCCTTGGGGGGCGGGAGAACGGGGTGTGTGCAGATATTTCTGAAAAATGGGTGGGGGGTATTTCTGCAAATGGACTGGGGTGTTTGGAGAAGAAGACTGTGGGGGTGGGTGAGGGAATTTTATTGGCTAAATTTTTAAAAAAAAATTATTTGGGCAAAAATCCATATGTCATTGATTCATTGGTTACTTTTTATTTTTACTCAAAATTTATTGTTTAAGAATTGTTTTTGACACAAATGACAAATGTCATTGTTTGATTTGTCACTTTACACGTCATTCGCGAGTGTAACACACACTTCATATATTTTTGTTGATTGGAAAAAGAGTGTCAAAATGATATAGCGGTACCGTACATGAGGTGTCTAAAATAAACATCGTCCAGTTGAAGTGTCTAACTGAAACTTCGTGCCAAATTCAAGGGGCCACCGATGGGTTAGGCCTTTTTTAATTAATAGTTAGATATAATGACGTTTTTAAACAATTTTTTTTTTGTCTTTTATCAAGCCTCACGTCTTAGTCAAAGTGAAATTGCGAGAAAATAGTAATGACATCTTTTTAATATTACTCCCTCCGTTCCAATTTATGTAATATGTTTCAAATTTCGAGTTTCATTTTAAATAATTTGAAGATGGAAAGTGCTAAATGGCCAGAAAATTAAAAAAACTATAGTGATATTTTTTTTACTTTAAAACAAACTGATCTTTTTTTCATGTTTTAGTTAAAATGTATTTAAGTTAAAAGGGTAAAAATATTTAAAAAGTTAAAATAACATAAAAAAACTATCATTCTGGCCAAAAAGATTTTTCCTTTAAAGATTTCATGAGTAAATTCTCGATCAAACTTAAATTGTTTTACTCTCGAAAAGGAATGTGTCACATAAATTGAGACAAAGCAAAATGTGTCATATTAAAGTTAGGATTCAGAATTTTATGATGAGTTTGGACTTGAAATTCTACCACATTATGTCTTATTAATTGGTATATTGAAAATTTGTTAGTTGCATTATGGGTATTGAAAAAAATTGTTAGTTGCACTTATTTAGTCATTTTTTAACACATACAAAATTTAATTAAGCAAAGGTTATCAGAGAATCTTCATCGGCTTTAAACAGATATAACTAGAATTTTTATGTCAGCTTGGTTATTTAAAAGTTTGTCTACTTATCCCTTAGTTTGCATCTTCATCTGTTTGAAAGCTCGGACCATTCTTCTTGATAGATACTTAAATAAAGGGGAACACCTTGCTATTATGAAAATGCTAGTCGTTAGCATAATAGCTCCATAAATATAGGAATAAAACCATTTATAACATCAAGTGATCAAGTATGTGATCTAATCTGTGTAGATTTCTCAACAAAAAATGGTCTGGAATTTGAATGAACCAATTGCTTCTTCATTAAATCTTCTCCAAGTCATGATTTTCTTATCTTAAAATAATAATGGAAAAAAAAAATTGACCAGAAAATTTGGCCAGAATGATATTTTATCCATGTTATTTTACCTTTTTAAACATTTTTACCCTTTTAACTTTAATACCTTTCAACTAAAAAATGAAAAAAGACCAGTTTGTTTTAAAAAAAAAAAAAAAAGTTATAGTTTTTTTAATTTTCTGATCAAATTCTGGCCAAATTTTCTGTTCATTTAGCACTTCCCAATAATAATAGCCATCAGGGTAAAATAAGATTTACATCAAGTCATGTGCTCAAGCCTCATTTGTTACACTTTGATAACTTTCTAGTGAAGGACCAAACACATACACAAATTAAAGTATCTTGATTTTTTAAATTTTATAACTGAACTATCATCTCGACTAATAGTAATACACCAAAATCTAATATAACAATCCTGTGCACGGAATATTTATTGTTTGAGAGAAGAGTTGATATCAGTACAAAAGTGGTGATTGTATAAAATTACTAAAATTTTACAAATCAATACAAATTGGAATTTACAGATTGTTTAAATGTCACAGTTAATTAGCCTTAAACCAAATAATAAGCTCCTTCTTATCACTTTGAAAAATAAAATTATGCGTATGGTCTGTATCCCTTTGATCTGTTATTCCTCAAAGCACAGCAACCAATAGAGTAAATAATAATAATAAAAACGAATACACAAAAGTTTAATATTGCCATTTTGTTCCAATTTTTCTGAATGGTTTCGAGGAATGATGCTTTGCATGAATGACAGTCGAAACAGAGCTCATTTTGTGCATTGTTCCAAGTTTTGCAGTCACTGTCTGGCACTGCTGGCCCTGTTTTTGGCATCGTCCAGAATGTTGCGTTTGTGAACTCAAAGCCGCAGTAAGTAGGTGGTTTGCAACAACTTGACTACACCCAAAAAAACAAATTAAATAGAATTAGTGATGTCAAAATCAAACCTGTCCAAATTTAAACGGGTTGAGTCGTGACTTGTTTGTTGAATATGGAGTGCCACATCAAACAATTAATTCACTCAATGTCCCTCTTTTAGGTCCTAAATTTTGATGTTGGGCCTATTTCTAAAAGTTGTGAAAATATAGCTTGAAATTATGTTTCTAAAAAAGGTTAGACTCATATATAATGTTTGTTCATATATATTTCAACCTTATATACAAAATCTAATGTTTACGCATCTATAAAATTTTAGACTGTGATCTAATGTATTCTTATAAGACTTTCAGTTTGTTTAAAAGAATGAAAACTATTTGGACCGTGGTCTAAAAAGTCCGTAAGTTATAAATATGGAACGTAATGAAAGTGAAAAATTGAAACCTGAGCAGCTGGGAGGCTATATTTGTAAAAATCAGCAGGTTTTCCTCGAGGCATCATTTGACAATACTTGAAAGTTGCCATACAACTCTTAATTTCATCCCAATTTTCATCATTCACAACATGTTTCTCCAACCAATTTCCCCAATCTCCAAATTTAGCATCATTTCCACCTTTCCCAGACAACGCTTTAGCCACACTTTTATTCGTCACCAAAATAGTGAAAATCGATAAACAAATCATCCCAACGATGAACATAAACAGAAAAAACAAATAAACCCACAAGAAAAACGAAGCTCTGCAACAAGATCCAATTAATCCCAATAATGAAAGCACAAGAAGTGAACCCCCAAATATTAACAAAGGCATATATAATGATTTTTGGCAAAGGCTTTTAGCTTCATCAGCTTTAAACCAAAGTCCAAATCCTAAGGCCATAATTGCAACCATAAAGGTTAATACGTTAACAAGTGAAATAACGAAATTGCTTACACGAACC